ATAAATATATATATATATATATATATATGCATATTTGCATTTTTTTTTTTTTTATAGAAAAAAAGAAAGCCATATTCTACCTCTAATTCTCTGTTTAATTTATAACTATCCCAGATGGTAAATATAAGGTCAAAGCAACTCTCTGTCTCTCTCTCTCTGACTCTCTCTCTCTGACTCTCTCTCTCTGACTCTCTCTCTGACTCTCTCTCTCTCTCTCTCTCTCTCTCTCTCTCTCTCTCTCTCTCTCTCTCTCTCTCTCTCTCTCTCTCTCTCTCTCTCTCTCTCTCTCTCTCTCTCTCTCTCTCTCTCTCTCTCTCTCTCTCTCTCTCTCTCTCTCTCTCATCTCTCTCTCTCTCTCTCTCTCTCTCTCTCTCTCTCTCTCTCTCTCTCTCTCTCTCTCTCTCTCTCTCTCTCTCTCTCTCTCTCTCTCTCTCTCTCTCTTTTCTCTCTCTCTCCCTCTTTCTTTCTCTCTCTCTTTTTTTTTAACCTTTCACTTTCTTCCCCCTCGTATTCCTTTTCCTGGTTTTCTTCCTTTCTTTTGTCTTTTTCCCAATTTCTATTCCTTTTAGTGTTCCTTTATTCCTTCTTTCCTCTCTTCCTCTTCTCTGCCTCTCCCTCACTTCTCTCCATTCCTTCCCTTTTCCAACCTTTATTTTTCAGCGCCCTCCTTCTTTTTCCCCGGTACCCTCCCAACTCCTTACTTGGTTTACCACTTGTGAACCCTCTTCACTTAGGTTCCCAAATATATATTTTTGTAATAACATCAGAAATGAAAAAATTTAGCGATTAATCTTCCCTGTTGTTTCATTCTATAACTAATTAACTCTTAAGTGACCAAAACTATAACATTTTCCAGTAATTTTCAACCCTTTAATGCATATATTTTCACACACCCTTGTCCCCCATCATTCTTCTACTGATTAGAAATCACAGACACACTCTGTTAATTCTTTCTGACATTAACAAAAACTTTCTGAAAAACGAGACCTTTATGTTGTCTGCTTTTTTCAAGAACAAAACATCTCCTGAGGCTGCCCTGGTGCCCCTCTAATCTCCCCCCCTCCCAAGATACAAGTGCAGATATTGGGGATGTCTCCCCCAGTCCACCCACAGTCCCCCCTCTCTCCCACTCAGAATAATGTATGTATGATTAATGTCGGGTGTCTTTTGATTCCAGCCTCGTCATGGGTCCGGCAACTACTACTCGTGCGTGGCCGGAGAATATGGCCCTGGCGGTGTAAGTTTCTGCTGTGGTTGTTGTATACTCCGTCCCATGGATTTATCTGGCCTCTTATCATCAAATTTGGCAATTGTGGATTATTTTGTATGGGATTATCGTTAAGTAATGATCTTCAATACCACAGACTAGTAGCGAGGAGGAAGTGAGATCTAATTAATAAATGAGAGACCTTTTGTTAAAAGGAATAAGCGTAGGACGGAGTATAAGAGATACATTACACATGAAGGAAAGATATCCATATCAATTTATTTCCAAATATAAAGACACATTTATGTTCACCCTACAGGGTCCCAACAGAAGAAATTGATTAAAGAACGTGTCTCCTGGTAGTGCCGATGAAAGTATTCTACGACACTCTACATGCCTGTGATTACAGCACATATTTATATACATTTCTGTTTCATAAAAATGGAATGTAAATGCTTAATTTGCTTATTAAACTGCCATTAGCTTGCTCCAGCTATGTGTGCATGTGTGTCCTTTCAGTATTCACAGGAGGATGTGAATTGAATGTATTTAAGGTCCAGAGACACAGTAATTACCTGAACTTCATTTACAAATACAGTTACTGACATCACTGAACTCCTGCTATGATGAATTTACATAACCTAAACATGCTGTTAATATTTCAGAAGATCACTAAATGTTTTTTTTTTCTTCTTTTTTCATTTATGCTGTACATGCACAAACAAAGCTGATATATGGACTTATGTAATCACAGTTTTTTCACTGACAGATTTTATGTATTTATTTGTTTCAAGCTTATGTATACCATTTTGCCACAGTTACTGAAATGAAAATGTTCAGAGAATGATATCTTTCCACTTGTATCAACAGCCTCCAAGCAGCACCTACTACTCTACTGTTCCTGGCGACATGACCGCTTCTCGCATGAGCAATTCAACATTCTCTCCGACCTACGATGACCCTGCCCGCTCTGATGAAGAGAGTGACCAATATGGTGGATCTACTTACTCTGGTGGTGGACCCTATGCTCGAGCCATTGACTCTGTGTCACAGTCTGGCACTGCTAAACGCCTTAGTAAGTCAATGACCTTTTTTTTTTTTCTTTTCTTTTTTATCACTTATTTTAAGCTCTTGATAAGGATCAGAGCAAAGAGGAAAGGTTTTGGGCTGTAAATTTTTTTCTTAAAGTTAGACTTTTTATTCTGCAGTTATTATCTGAAGAGTATTATGTAGCCTTTAGTTTCTGCTTTTTTGGTCTTATGTGAGAGTAAGACAGACTCCACTTGTTCCTTGTGTTAGTTTAGCATGGTAATCTATTGTCTTTGGTACAGTCAAAGTACAGTCTTCTGTTTGAAAAGCAATTAGGCAATCATCAGGTGATATGTATTATTACATTTTTTTTTTGTTTTTTTTTCTGACTTATGATAAAGATTATACAAAGTGCATGGTAATCTTAAGGTTGCAGGGGAAAAGGAGTCTCTCAATTTTTTCATTAAGAAGAAAAAAAAAAAAAAAAAAATTGCCCCATTCAAAATAATTAAGTTATCACATCATCTTACATCCAAATTTATTCCCGTCAAAATTTACGTGATATATGATAATTGCTCTCTTTCAAAGCATGTTTTATCCAATTCAAAATTTCTTGCTATTTGAACAAGCTATTATTGTCCAAATAATTACTACTTACAGTAAGCATGTTTCTGTGCCAATATACATGTGAAATGATTATTATAGACTTTTTATGTGTTTGTTCTGCAATAATGAGTCCTTTTGTGAGCTGGACATTATCCCATTATTGCTCCACTGGGAGGGTGATGATGTGAAATAACAAAAGTTGGCCCCACTCAGATGGTGGTCACCCCCCTGGAGCTCCCGTGTCTGGGCCTCAACCCAGCAACCATAGATTTATATGTAAGTGTTTTGTAATTTAGTGATGGAAAGTAACCAATAACTAACAGGTTGTAGTTTGCTGTGAT